TGGGATCATGTGTTTTGGAGCTCGGAGCTGCCGTGGAAGAAATACAACTCTCTTGATTCCCCCTCATGCTGGAGAGAAAGCACAGGCAGACATTCTAGTCAATAGTGCCAGGTGAGCCCAACCTTCCACCAACCCAGCCAGTGCAGGCATCAGACACGTGAGTGAAGAGGTCAGCTTGGAAAGGGGTCCTATAGCCCTTAGCCATTTGAGTCCTGGCCAGTTGTTCAAGTAATCTCATCTGGGGCCCCAGACACAGAGAAGAGAGGTAGCCCCTCCTAGCCCTGGCCCACAGAATCCGAGAGTGTGATAAAGTGGTTGTTGTTTTATGCCCTTAGGGTTTGGCATGATTTGTGGCCCAGTAGTAACTGTTCCAAGGGATGATTTCAGGCAACATAATCTGATTCCAGAAAATGCATTGAATCTGGGAGGTACTAGACATATTAGAGTGAACAAGAGGCTTTCTGTTTTAAACACCAAAGTGGCTGAGAATCTAGTAGAGAAGACAGATGTTAAAATGCTAATGTACTAGAGTAGTGGTAAGTATTTTCAAGGAGCATTATAGAGTGCTGTAAGAGTTGATAAGAGAGAGCCTAATCTAGTTTCAAGATTTCAACAGGCTTCTCAGAACCACTATGTGAACATGGGTACTTAAAGTCCTATTAGAGATGGAAATCATATCTTAGGTTCATCTGGAACATTCGCTCTGTTGGCATCTACTTTAGAGAGAATGATTTTGCACTTCCAGCGGATAGAGATTGTAAATGGGACACATGTGTCTATTATTTTCACGGTGGGACCAAGGTCTAAAGATTTTCATTAAATGCCCTTTCAGAAATGACAACCCTATCAAGGTTAGGAAGCATGAATCTAGTCCGATTTGGTCATTTTGCAGATTTTGAGCGTCAGACACCGGGCACGGAGAAAGTTTCCCCCAAACCAGTGGCTCCCGCGGAATTAAAATCGAACTTGTTCTTTTCTTCACACGGTCTGTGGTTGCTGGTGCCACCTTCACCCCCCAGGAAAGAGGCCTTTTGTGATCTCCTGCAGGCACCTGGAGGGCACTGGGCATGGGATGGGCCAGGGAAAACAGTGCACCTGTTGCAGATACCTGGCCTCTGGGAGGCAGCCCTACACCCCACCCACAGAGCTCAGGGCCCCACCTGCTGGCTGGTTCTGAAGGGCAGGTGTGAACAGAAGGGCTTGGAACTGTGCCTTTTGGCCTCTGTCCAGACATCTAGTACACTAAGATCTGAGATCAGATTAGAACACAGGCAAGGATTACAACTCCCAGAATTTGGATCCGTTTACCTATTGGAATGCTTCCCAGTAGAGAAGCTCCGTTGTGCTGCTCTAGAGAGTGATGGAATTAGAGACCTCGGGACACAAGGTTCGAATCCCCCCTGGGTTGGATAAGAGCAGTTACTTACTGAGCGCCCGCTGTGTCCTACCAACTTCTGGACACCATTTGGCTCTCTCATCTCAAGGTCCCTAGGTGGTGGCACAGTTGGCTCGGTGTTGGGCTGCTCACTGCAAGATTGGTTGTTCAAACTCACCAGCCAGCCCCTGGGAGAAAGATGGGGCTATCGACTCATAAAGATTGACTGCCTCAGAAACTCTATAAGGTCTCTATTAGTTGGGATCAACTTGATAGCAGGGCAGGGGGTTGTTTTTATGGTTTTGGGGGGTACAAATGGTCTACACTCCACCCCTAACCAAAAGGTGGGTAATCCACATCCACCCAGCAGAGCTACGATAGACAGGCCTGGCGATCCGTGTCGGTAGGATCACAGTCATTGAAAACCTCATGAGGTACAGCCCCCCTCAGTAGCACGTGGAGTTGCCGTGTGCCAGAATGGGCTCAACGCCAACAGGGTTTGTTTGTTTGTTTATGCGGGGAGGTTATGGTCTCATTTCTTGACAGTCTTGCAAGGCAGACAGGTAAGGGGATTTAGGTTCAGAGAGGTGGAGTGACGTCGCCAAAGCCACACACATGCAACTGGCAACAGCCAGGATCCGAGTCCAGGTCTTCTGACTTCTAGCATTTCCCACCGCACAGCGGGCTGTTTGGGAGAGCGCGAGGCAGCTTAGCTTAGTGGCGAAGAGCGCAACAAGGGATCCCCCTTGCCTGAGTTCAAATCCCAGTCTTACCTCTCTCTCTCTCTCTCTCTCCACATAATGTGCTTAGCTATACAACGCGGGGACAATAGTAGCTCCTGTGTAGGTTGCTGGGAAGGTTGAGTGAGAAGATGGAGATCAATCGCTAAGAAGGATTCTTGCCCAGAGTAAGTTATCATTACGAGGCATTACATCGGAAGACTTGGCATCCTCTCTTACCTCTCCCCACATTGAGTACTTTGCCCTTAGTTTGGGCTTGCTGTTCGCTGAGGGATCTTTGCAGGTCACTGACCACACTGTTACCGCATTGGTTACTTGACCAACAAATGTTTCTCCAGAAGGCATTTTGGATTTGTGATATTAGCTCCCTTGGTCCAACCCACACCAAACTCATTGCTGTCAAGTCCGTTTCAATAGGGCAGAGCAGAACCATGTGGTTCCCAAGACTGTGCATCTTTACAGAAAATAAACGACACGGCGTTCTCCTGCAAAACAGCCGGTGGGTTTGAACCACCGGTCTTCTGGTTCATAGCCAAACACTTAACCATCCTACCATCAGGGTACCTTAGGTCTCTTCACAGGAGTCATTCTATCCTCTTTAGAGCTTGCTGTTGTTAGATTTCATCAGATAGGTTCCCAATCACAGCGACCTTATGTACAACAGGATGAAACACTGCCTGGTTCTGCGCCTTCCTCACAATTGTGCTTGTTTGAGTCCATTGTTCCAGCCTCTGGGTCATCCATCTCCTGCAGCATCTTCGACCTCTTTTTCGCTGCCCCGCTACTTTACCAGGAATTAGATCCTTTTCCAGGAAGTGGTCTTTCCTGATAATATGTCCAAAGCACTTAAGACGAAGGTTTATCGTTCCTCCTTCTAAGAAACCTTCTGGCTGTACTTCTTCCAGGACAGACGCGTTTGTTTCGGCAGTTGACAGTACTTTCACTATTCTTCGCCAACATCATCTTGTGGCACATAAAAGGAGCCCTGGTAGTACAGTGGGTTACGCATGGGGTAGCGAGTGACAAGGTCAGCAGTTGGAAACCTCCAGCCTCTCCGAGGGAGAGAGATGAGGCTTTCTGCTCTCAGGGAGACTGACGGTCTTAGTGTTAGAATCAACTCGATGGCTGAGTTTGAGGTGTTTCCTTGTTGGTTTGTTAGCGGCATAAGAAAGGAACTTTGATGGCCCTGTGGGTTTGGCACTGGGTGGCCAACAGCAAGGTCGGTGGTTGGAACCCATCAGCTGCTCTGACCGAGGAAGATGAGCTTGTCTGCTCCCATAAAGACATATAGGCTTGGAAGTACTATATAGGGTAGCCATGCGTTGGAATTACAATGATGGCAGTGGATTTTTTTGCTTGTTTTTTGGCACAAGTATGATCAACTTCTGTATTTAAAATGCATGCAGATTGCAATTCCTCTGAGGTATTATTTTTTACTTATCAGATTGGCAAAGATTTAAAAAAAACAGGCATCCCAGTGTTGGCATGGATGTGAATAAACAGTCCGATCTGCACTGCGGTCTGAAAGCTCTGCCTGCCTTCTCCTCCCTCGGCCGCTAGCATGCGTCCTTCATGGGCATTTCTTCCTTCATGGGTAACAGCCACCTTGGCATCTGACGTGCAGAGGACTCAAATTGGCACAGGGATCAAAGGGGGGAGGGAACTGCACGACGTGTTCCTAAAAAGATCATAGAATCGCTCTCTTTAGAGAGGTGTGCACGGAGTTGCACTGGATCCAAACTTTAATGTGTGTGGAATACTTGGGGGGGTCTCACAGAAATATTGATTCTGGGGTGGAGCTTGAGAGTCTGTATTGACAACAAGCAGCCAGGTGGTATCACTGGTCCAGGCCCACACTTGTTGGGCAACAGGATGCTGGGCATCCTCCTCTTGTCTTTCTCCCAAGTCTCCTTTCCGTGTCTCCATCCAGCTCTGAGCCCAGAGGGACTGATCGCGTGGACCAAAGCCGAGGACTTGAAGCCTCTGGCCGACGGGGAACCCTGGCAGGAGATCAAGGATGCAACGAGAGGCTTTTATTTTATTGCTTTGTTGTGGATCTTTGGAGCTGTCTACCAAAAGCCACAGCAAGTAACAGGTAGCTCTCTGGCTGCAGCTTCTCTCTGGTGGAATCCCAACCCCTGCGCCCCTCCTTTCCCACTTTGTGGCAAGGTGGACGTGGCTCCCACGTGACCAGCCCTGGAGGACAGCATCATCCCATGGGAGTCCAGAAAGCAGTGCACACCTCTGCAAACAGCCTACCGCTAAACAGCCCTCCTTCCTCCAGCCAAGTGTGCGTCTTATCTGTAGGAGCCCTGCCGGTGAATAGCATTGCCCATTGCAGATTTTTGGTTTTTTTCCGGTCTGGTTTTGATCATAATAGCTAAATGCGCATCACTGAGAAACGGTTACATACATTATGGTGCACATCGGTAGAAAGGAAAAGGTAGTTCTCTCTTTGCTTACATGCACACACGGCCAAGACACTCCTTGAGTGAAAAAAGGCAAGCTTCAGAAGAGTCTGTCTAGCATAAAAGCGATGCCTTTTTTTTTTTAAAGGCTTAGGTTGCAAGTTGATGCCCCTACTCTAAACAAACTTCACCCAAAAAGAACAGGCGGGGAGGGCGGCTTCTGAGATAGACACGGAACTGAGACATTAAAAAGGGGTGGGGTTGGGTTTAAGCACGACTGGACAGTTCTTGGCATCAGGAACCAGTCTTGGCTTATCACTTTGCTGTATTTTCCTGTGCGGCCGCTTCTCACTCGGCGAGTTGTCCTCACGTGGTGGCAGCGCTGTCGCCAGCTTGGCTTTCCGCATTTGTAGCCCACATGCTGATGAAGGCTAAGGGAGGCCTCGGTCGAGGTCTGGGCTAAGAGCAGCACAGTACTTTCTGGGGGTACGCAGGGCACCCATCGTTCCACAGTCCGGCCAACAGCCATCTACAAAGCGCCAGCTGGGTGGATTCGTCATGGAGGACTCGGGCAGGCAGAGTCCCTGGCAGCTGAGACCGCGATCCTCCCGGAGAGCGGAGGTCAGGAGCGCGTCCCCGCCCCGGCGCGCGTCCCCGA